ATATAATTCTGGCTTCTGCACGACTGTAAACAGAAATATCGAGATATCGAGTTTAATATGGATATTAAGGGCAATCATTCAGCCATGTTTTATTTAGATGAGCTTCAAATACCTTTTTTCTATTTAATGGATATACATCTATTCATGATTTCTTTTATACATGTTCATATTCATATTAAAACTGGTTTCTGCATCAAAAGTTGTCTAAGTAGAAATCAAGGTCCCAAAATGCACTTCTAAAGCATAAATAAATGACAAAACAAACAAAATAAACATCTATTGAGAAGAAATTATGGGCATCTGGTAATAAAACTCATATTTTTTGCAATGTAGAAAGCATATTCAGTGCAAGCAAAGCGTCTTCTTTAATTTTTTAAAATATATTGTGTTAAAATAAAGAATAAAATATGAGTGAAAATGTTATTCATTCAGTGTGATACATAACAAAAATAAATTATTAGCCCCCGTGTGCATTATTTCCCCAATTTCTGTTTAGCAGAGAGTTTTTCAACACATTTCTAATCATAATAGTTTTAAAAACTCATTTATAATAACTGATTTATTTTATCTTTGTCATGATGACAGCAAAAAATATTCAACTAGATGTTTTTCAAGATGCTAGTATTCAGCATAAAGTGACATTTCAGTTAGACCTAGTTATGGTAATTAGCCGAGTAACAATGGTTTTTTGTAAAAAAAAAAACATATATATATATATATATACATACATACACACACACACACACACACATGCAGTAAAAATACAGTATATTATCCGGGTATGTTAATTAAATTACAGAGCATATACTAGAATACACTCCAAAAAGGAGATGACTATTGCTGAGTTGAAACAACAGGATTCTTGAAGTTTTTTTTTTGAAGACAACTTTATTGTTTTATGTTCAATGCACTTAAATCTGTAAACATGAGTTAGGTGCATTGAAAAAAAATGCTGGATTCCACACAATCCCTTCATGATGAGTCAACAAAAATTGTTTCGGTTAACTTAATTGTTATTAAAAATTAAAGTGGATTGAACATAAAACGATTCAGTAGTTCCCCTAAGAAAATAAGAATTATGTTATAATAGTGTCACCCAGTGTGGTCTTCTGCTGCTGTAGCCCAACTGTGCCAAGGTTGGACATGTTGTGTGTTCAGAGATGCTCTTCTGCAGACCTCGGCTGTAACGAGTGCTTATTTGAGTTACTGTTGCCTTTCTATCAGCTGGAACCAGTCTGGCCATTCTCCTTTGACCTCTGGCATCAACAAGGCATATGCGCCCAGAGAACTGCCACTCACTGGATATTTTCTCTTTTTCAGACCATTCTCTGTAAACCCTAGAGATGGTTGTTCGTGAAAATACCAGTAGATCAGCAGTTTCTGAAATACTCAGACCAGCCCGTCTGGCACCAGCAACTATGCCACATTCAAAGTCCCTTAAATCACCTTTTTTCCCCATTCTGATGAACTTTGAACTGCATCAGATCATCTTGACCATGTTTCTAACCAATTTGGTTAGAAAAGCGAGCAGTTGGACAGGTGTACCTAATAAAGTGGCCGGTGAGTGTA